AGTGAAAAGACAACAAGGGGAAGGTTTAAGGTTTACCCGGCATGATGATTTTCCATTTCTTTATTTTCTTCTTGTTGGACAGAGACAGCAAGCATGTAACTAAAAAAACAATTTGATTGTCATCATCCCCAATATGTCTCAGTTCACAAAAACAATACAAGCAAATAATCATGCAAAGTCAGAAGACAACAACACTGCTGTAAACTCACTCAGTGCTCTCGTTCGTACTGTGATCAGGGATAGTAGGCATATGATAAGCCGCATCAACAAATGTAGAACTCCCATCCACACTATCCAGTGTTTCCCAAACAACTGAGGATTCACCAAGGAAGCCCATGTCTGTGACTAGAACATACAACAGATCCTAAAAGTGAACAATAGTCATTAATGACACAAGCATATTTAAAAGCAAGCTTATAGGCCCCAAAAAAACAGACCCATGCAAAGACGCACAACTGTGAACCTCGTGCTTTGAGAGCGTTTGGAAATGGTTGTTTCGAAAAAGGACAGCAATTCCATCATTGTCAAGATCTGACAGCAGCTCTGCTATTCCTTGCGGTGTTAGCTGAGATGCATTCAAATCCAAGAAATTCCTCAGCAAATTACTTTCGGAATCATCACTTGAATTGACAACCTTCTCCACAACCTGATTGTAGCTTAGCCCATTCATGGCCTTCACTAAAACGAGATGTCAAAAATCTGGTGAGATGTAAAAACATCACAAACATGTGCTTTTAAAACTACACGCCATCCTTCAAATGGGTGACAGGAAGAGTAAGATTTGAATGCGCCAATAGACAGTTTCTCGAAGTAACTTAATGAAAAATAATTCAACAGCATCTGTTCAAAAAAAGCATATTAAATTCAACGTTGCATTTCTCATAAGCTACAGAAACCAATCGCCTTTTCCAGTGCATCCACAACAAGCGTAAACAACAGAGATGCCAATAGCGGAAAAACTGGCACGACTTGTCGTGAATGTATTCTAGACTAGTCGATCACAAAATACTGTTGTCAAACACCTCCCACAACCCCCTCTGTGAACACCACCTCGTTGAATTACTTTTTTCCAGTCTGCCCACAAAACTGCAACATTGGTGCCCGAAGCACTGAAGACCTTTT